CAAACAGAGTACGGCTTTAGCTCAGTTAAATTGTAAGTACACATGTGCGTGATAATTATTTATGCTCGAATTAATTAGGGATATCAAAGCGGGTCATTGCCATTGTGAATCCCGATTCGGTGTTAATGCACCTGAATTGGATTGCCTCACTCCACGCTGCGGTGTCGCTTCCCTCGCGCGCTCGCCCGTTTCACTCCGTTTTAGCCCGGGACAGGAACAGTTTATGACGTCATCTTGCGACGTGGCCCCCAGCACTGCCACGTTGCTAGCTATGACCACATCCTCTGTCCTCAATTGCCGTTCTCCCCCTTCGCATGGACCCCCTTCTGGAAAATGACTGGGAACGGGAAATCGCAGATTGTAACTGGGGGGAAAATTCCGTCCAGCGGGCTAATTATTAAACGTGATAGACAAAGCGATAGACAAAGATGGCATAGTGAGTATGGAGCGATCCTATCGGTTGAAATGTGTGATCTCCATAGACTAAGGGTGGGATATGGACTAACATAGGGTCTCTCGTGGGTTGCCGTTAGTTAGTCTATTACTTACCTCCTTTGTCCATTGCTAACGCCCACTTCCACCAATCGGCTCCCTCCACATCCATCTTGTCTTCCTTGTCTATAGCTTTATCTATCAATTTCAATAATCGGCCCGCAGGAAAACTTAACTGTTTGCACGGAGAAAAAAACTTCGTTCGTGGGACCCGAAGTTGAGGTCATATGGATCTCTGAGGTTTTTGGATCACGTATCTAAAAACTTGAGGTCCAGCTGCCGAAGTTCGGGTCAGACATCTGAAGTACTTCGATACATACCGAAGGGTTCGGGTCACACATCTGAAGTACTCTGGTACGTACCGAAGTGTCTCGATGTTTGACCCGAACTTCGGCAGGTGGACCTCAAGTTTTAGATACGTGATCCGAAAACTTCAGAGATCCATATGACCTCAACTTCGGGTCCCACGCACGAAGTTTTTTTCTCCATGTGATGGAATCGACTAAACAAGGCGCGGTGTGACTACCAGTGACGAGCGAACACTCTATGGTCTTCCGAAAAATCTATTTTGAGTTCTACTCAGCTTTTTTCCAATGAGGACAAAACCTTAATTTGTGTGATGATTTTGAAGTGTCCATATCTTTATCGGTCACCCGTTTAAAATAGGTAGTGAAAATTTTGCAACGTCGCAAATTGAGGTATGAATGTAATCTCACCGTTGAGGATGAGATATTGTGTATCTGCGCGCGCGCTCGAGTGTAATTTCAGTGGCAATCCTGATACCCTGCCGTCAAGTCGAAGCGACGCTGTTGAAAGGCGCTCTGAGCAAATATTCCACCTCGGAAGTGTTGCACAGTATCAGACAGAAATGAAGGCGCACTAAAGTGCGTATAATGACTGGAATCGTTTACCACAGCGTAGATTCCCGTTTTTGTTTGAAAGGTAGATGTGGGATGGCAATAGTCACCAAGTTCGATATAAAAATTTGAAAACAGCAATACGTTACGTTGGAGCAAAATTCATTGAATTGCATTGCCTGCGCCAAAAAAATACGCCCTAGATGGAGGCTGATTTCTTTCGCTAAGTTCACATTTTCGAAACAATGCATCTTTGAATAAGGGTCATTCTACGTATGTATTAGGAGGATTCTTTCATGAATGTGCGAGGAGGAAATATGTTCGAACGAACGGTATGGTATTTTCTCAGGATCCTGATCTGTTGAAGACTGCCCACTAATTCACGCACGTCAAAATGCCTTGATTTTCAGCTGATACTGTGCAACAGCTCAATAGTTGCACGAAGCGTCGTTATCAATTATGCGCAGCTTAGATGGCGAGATTTTATTTTTACTGAGAAAATCATATTACGGCGCATGTTTAAGATCCCTTTCCATCATCAACGATGCTTCACAAATCTGATTCAAAATCTGGTCCACCTCAATATACAACTTCATCAATAGTTTTCACAAATATTTTGTGCAGGATAATCAGGGTGATTGAATCAAACAGCTAATAAGATACAGGGGTTAGGTAAAATTTACAGACTGCACGTAGTTCCATGTAACTTCATCCAAAATCCACCCTGTGGAATTAAAAACTTAGGCTTGATCGGTATATTTTAAACGAGGAACACGTATTTTAAACCAAATTTTGAAAATTTGAAAATCCAAGATAGAAAATGTGACCCTAAAATTGTATCTCGACTCCTGTTCAATCAGCTTTAGTGGAACTTGGGATCATGGGTTTACTTGACGGGAAACTTGTGTATTCAATCAAATCTTCAAAATTAGAAACTCAAAGATGGCAGATGTAGTCTAACCCTGTTGGCTCCTACTCAATCGAAACTTGCCGCGAGGAGGTATTTTTTGACGCGACACTAGCTTGATCCCTATAATTAAACAGAACTAAGCTCAATTTTGATAATTGCATCTTCTGCATTTGCCAAAACTATTAAGATTTGATCAAAAGCTGAGTTTGAATCCATTGTTAGTGCAGATGTTGCCCTTCTGAAAACACGATTGATTAACGTCATTGACCAGGGTAGTGTCATTTTTTTTCCCGTGAACACACGTAGATCAATTCCTTAAATGTAGCGCAACTCTTGAATTGGTGCCCATCGCCGATTTTGTTAATCTTAGGGGAAGAAGCAATAGTATGCACCATCATAATTAATAACGATATATACTCATTATTTTATGGAGGGTGGGTAATATCTCCGTTAATTATGGTTGATAAAGACGGTTGAGGAGTTTTAAAATTAATGTGTAATCTATAGAATTCGACACTTCTGCTACTAGCACAATCAACACGCATCCACTATTTTTTTTACGGGTCCCCAACAACCTCATAAAACCATCGAAGAGAGTGATTACTGGTCCAGAATTTTTTCCCCAGTATTTTGTTCAAGATCAAAAATTTAAAAATTCGTATTTCAGAGATGCATGCTTTAATCTAAAATATCTGTTCCTGAAGAGATCAAAAGTTAACTTGACGTGATTCAATACTGCGGAGAAACATTTTTCGCTCCGATTATGATGAAACGTGAAATATTAAAATCTTGAAGATCCCGAGTCAGGTGGTACGGAGTGCAAATGCACCGCTAACAAATCGACTCTGGCCTGCGACGAAAAATGACGTGATACGAGAGCAGGGGTAAGGAGTAGGCCTTCAGTCGTATAACCCTTAACAACTCTGGCAGAAAGCGACATAACTGAATTTTGCAGGGGAAGCGAGCGGGGGCGGCAATAAAAATGAAAGCAATCCGACGAAGAATATAGTCGAGAGGAGGAAAAAGTTAAAGTCTGATTGTCAGGGATGAAACTTTCATCGGACGCCTGAACGGTGACAGTTGCCGCGGATAGGGAGACCAGAACGGTCGGGTCGGGGTGGTAAAAAAATATTAAGTGAGTATGGGCCTGGGTAAGCATTATTAAAACACGCCAAACGCGTCGGTATAATTTAATTAAAATAGAGAAGGCATCCTTGCCGGGGCGTGATAAACTAAGACAAAGGAAAGGGTTGCGGTGGGCCGTGGGACTGCGGGGCAGTGGGAGTGGTCGTCACGGAGTCGGGACAATGATGACGTCACGCGGCGCATGGCGCGGGTTGCGGGGTGGTTGCGGCCTGCCGATTGGTCCCCCGCAAAGCAACGCCGCGCGCACCGCAAACTCCACTTTCCGTCCCCCGGCGCCCCCCACTGAACCCCGATCCCCCAGGTCCCCCTACCGCCCCCTTTCTTTACCGTCTCCTTGTCTTTCGCCACTCTCCGCTTCACGCTTCTTCGCAACTTAAAGTTCGTCGCTGTCTCTCTTTCTTCGTCGGCTCCCATTTCCTCCTGCTCTTCAGCCGTTTCTTTCGTCTCGAACCTTGTCTTGCGATACCTTTTGCCCCCTCCCCCCTCCGCCCCTTTTTCATTCCGCCTTAATCCTCCGCTGTCTCTCTTTCGCGCGCCCTCTCCCGCTCCTTCTCCTTCCTCACACTTTCTTTCGGCTCCAGTCCTCACTTGTGATACCTTAGCTCTTGATATGAATTTTATAAGACCTCTCTAATATGCACCCAGCTCTGTAACTTGTAACTTGATTGAGAAACTTTTCGCGTTGTTCGAGAATATTTCGGATATATAACCCAAGTTAGTGGAAGTCGTTGGGAGCTCGTCATCTAAATTTAAGTCATCGTAGCTTCCCCAAAAAATTATCTAAGTCTCAGCGATATTATTTGATCGCTGAAACCGACGAGATTGTGATGTTCCTTCCTTCTGGAGCCTCAGATGTTATATAAAATTAAAATGGCTTTTAATAAATAGTAAGATCTGATGATCGTAAAAAATTGCCACCTATGTAGACAGTTTTTCCGTACAAAGAGAAGTTTCCAAACAGGATCTCTGTTATGGAAATTCCATTTTATTCACCGTTGTATTCAGTGTTGGATCGGAAAAGTGACAATCGACGGTATTGCATATACTTTGTGTTGAGAAGAAAACTGACATTAATAACCTTTACACGCTAGAGAGACGCTCGGCGAATTAAATGCCACATTTTTTTTTTTTACTTTTTATAATTCTGCTATAGTCTTTCAACCCTCAGTTCAAGTCATCTCAGAAACAAGCAAAAAAAGAGTCCTCCTTATAACTCTTTCTTGGCATTTTGAATGTCACTGGGCGATGAGAAGAAAGGGTTACGATCAAGGGTTGACAAATGCCAAGCATGTGGTATTTATCCTGATCTCCGCACAAAGGTCACCGCGGCAAACTAAGGCACAACTCGGCACTATTCTCTCGAAAACCAAGAAAATACAAAATTCAAGGATTATTCTTGTCCTTATGAAGCTTTTGAGAGAGGCAACGCAAGCAGAGGTTGCAGGTACTGAGATTGTTGCCGTCCCTTTGCTGTGATTACACACCTTCCTATTATATTTTTCCAGAATTTTCGTCGGAGACAAAAATATAAGCATGTTAACATGAGACGAAATATGAAGAAATTAATCGCAATGGAACATATTTTCTGATTTCAGGTCTAGCCCATCATCTAGGAATAAATGGTGATGGACATCACTGGAACTCGGCATTTGGCCGTAATTTAGGAGGGTATCCTCCTTACTTGTCGCACTGCGGACCGCCTCATTCATCGCATTTTCCTCACATACTACCATTGACTGGCTCCGATCATCCAAGAGAAACGTCGCCTAGAGGTAAGACAGTTCCCTGAAAATGTTGGAGCTGTAATTTTTAACTATATTGGTTTGATTTCAATCTGAATTTGATGATTAAACAATATCAGCCCTCGTAAATGCTACCCACTATTCCTGAATTGTGTTCCTCAATTCACTCTTGCGACTTTTTTTCTGTTTAAGTGAAGATTAGATACAACAAGTTTTGGGCCATAATCACAGTTTCAGAGATGAAAAAGGATAGAAAGTTGCAAAGTGTTTAGAGACATCATCAGAGGATAGTTAGTAAGTAAGTGTTGAATGACTAGAAAGTAGTAAAACTAATAACTCAACAGCCACTCATTGATTTATTTTACTTCATTTTAGGAATTTTAAGATATTTAAATTAATTATTGAAAATAATGAACTTAAATTCAAAAGAAAATAGGGTTGAAAAACACAAATAATTTTCTCCGAGGGGAAAATGTTAAGTGTGTGTAGTATCTGTTTAAAAGTTGATCGAGAATCAGCAAAATTGAGGCTAACACTGTGACTTGCAGAAATTTAAAATAGATGCTTCCAAAAAATTGAATTTGTTTTAAAGGTGTATGTACATTTCTATCCCGATCTCCTTTTCTTCAAATTTTTGGGGTAAGAAACTTTCAACTTTCAAGCAGAGAGTATGAAGTAGCCAGCCTGATATGATATATATGATAAATTTTGAAATTGCATGGATCCTTATGGCAAAAAGAAAGTTGAAAGTGACTTTTTGATACTTAAAAATCAGACTTTGGGAGAAAATTTTTCACAGAATAAAATCTCAATGTTTTTCAAAAACTGCACTTAATTATGCGCCTTGTCCTCCAATCCCTCAATTGTGTTTAACCAATTTCTACGTTTATTTATTTTTAACTTATTCTGGTGCATCCGCGACCGGCAAGCCGAGAAAGAGATCTGAAGATAGAATTCGTCAATTCGGAAATGGCCATCGTTACATAGAAGTCAAAATATTTCAAGAAAAGGAGATTGGGAAACCAAAGTACACACACTTTACGAATTTAAGATGCCCGATTGAGGAAGACTTCCTAAATTGTTTTAGGGGGCGTTCTAATGGTAAAGTTGTATAAACGATTATGATCATCAAGTGGAATTTCTGTTTCAATTTTCAGATTTATTACGATCCTCGTCGGAGCCGCTGGGTCCGCTCAACATCAACGTGGGGAACCACAACCACAGCCACAACCACGCGAGTCCTGCCGGGAAGCTCCACCCCCACCCCCACCCGCGCCTAGGTCGGGGGCACCCGTTCCCCATCGGGGTCGGCCGCCGCGGCAGACGGCACAAGCCCCTTTCCGACCTGAAAAACCCCGCGGGCGATCCCCCGACGGGACCCTCCACTACCGAAGGGCTCCAGAACTCGGTGGCCCCCCGGTTCCCCCCAAGCCTTCCGTTCCAGCAGAACCCCTCGTTTTTCAGCCTTTTCCTGAATCCATCCCTGTCGACGCAGTGGCTCTACTCGCAGTTCTACCCGAACCCCTACTCGCAGCTCCACTTCAGGCAGCAGATCTTCGAGGATGCCAAGGCCAAGGAAGTGCCTGACAGTCCCAAGTCCGACGACTCCAAAAAAGCTTCAAGTCCGACACCGACGCCGGATGATCAGAACAAATCGTCTTCCTCCTCAAAGTCCAGCGATAAGTCCCCGCAGGAAAAGACCTCTAAAAACTCGGACGTTTGGCGGCCGTATTAGACGTGAGAAATTTCAAATCTTTGTCACGGGTATCTGAAGATTTACGAAGGTTACGATTGTCGATGTGTATTGATTCATTCTCTTTATGTGGCTGTACAGATTTACGTTCAGGGTTTTGCCATCTTTTCAATAAATTGGAACTTCCGAATGTTAATTTTAAGGAAAAATAATTGTGTAAATTTGAATATTGTACATATATTAAGTATTGTTAAAAGAAAAGAAGGGGTTGCACACTACTGAAAACATTGTAAAGTTGATTTCCGGATTATGATGAATGCATTTTTTTCATAAATGAATGTTCTCTGAATTGTTTTATTAATCGTGATGAATATGGGTCTGATATTGAGATCAGAGCCTTAGCAACCGTTTCGAAGACACCAATCAGAGTGTTTCGACGTCATTCCCTCCGAAAACACCGTTATACTCAAATTTTTAAACCGGATTAATCGGATACCGCAGGAGATTCGCTGAAAGTTTATTTTTCATTATGCACAGGCAACGAACACATTGCAACAGACGATGATTCGAGACACTAAAGGTTATTGGTGCCGGCGAGTGAACCGCTCATTAACTGTCTCCCTGGGAAAATTGAAAAACCGAAAAGTCTAAAAGTTGCTTGTAATTGTTGAATGATTATGATGAATGTATTTGTCATAAATTATTGTTCTCTGAATTGTTTTATTAATTCTGGTGAAAATGGGTCTGATATTGAGATCAGAGCCTTAGCAACCGTTTTGAAGACACCAATCAGAGTGTTTCGACGTCATTCTCTCCGAAAACACTGTTATTCTCAACTTTTTAAACCGGATCAATCGGATACCGGAGGCTATTCGTCGAAAGTTTATTTTTATTATACACAGGTAACGAATAAATTGCAACAGACGATGATTCGGGGCACGATAGGTTATTGGTGCCGGCAAGTGAACCGCTCATTTACTGTCTCCTTGGGAAAATTGAAAAACCGAAAAGTCTAAAAGTTGCTGATAATTTTTGAATGATTATGATGAATGCATAATTGTCATAAATTAATGTTCTCAGAAATTTTTGTAGTGATCCTGGTGAATATGGGTCTGATATTGAGATTAGAGCCTTAGGAACCGTTTTGAAGACATCAATCAGAGTGTTTCAACGTCATTCCCTCCGAAAACACTGTTATTCTCAACTTTTTAAACTGGATCAATCGGATACCGGAGGTGATTCGTCTTAAAAAGTTTATTTTTTATTATACACTGGCAACGAACAAATTGCAACAGACGATGATTCAGGGCACTATGGGTTCTTGGTGCCGGCGAGTGGACCGATCATTAATTGTCTCCCAGGGAAAATTGAAAAACCGAAAAGACTCAAAGTTGCTTATAATTTCGATTCCGCACATTGCAACGAGCAACACAAGCTCCAACAATCCAACTGCAGGGAGGATGGGTCCAATCTGCAGTATTGCCTGACACCGAACCTCTTACAAAGAAAGAAAAACGACATTGAGGAAAGGTGGCGATGGATTTACGAGGATCCAGCAAGAATTTTAAAAAAATAAAATGATGCTTGGATTCATATATTGCCTACTGGCTTGTAATGTGAATGAAATGGTTAGGAAGAAGTCAGTTCTGTAAGTTTATTAATGTGTACATATTTCTTGATTTCTTTTTTTATGAGCAGTTGCAGCCTGAGAGGCGTGAATGCACAAATATAGTGTTTTATCATTCGGAACCTTCAATCTAGTGTCAAAATGTATCACACTGTAATGTGATATTCGTTCATCCATTGAAATTTTTACGTCATTTATATAATATTGGGAGATGATAAATTATGAATCCGGAAAACCTTAATCCTTCTTTATTCAGTTCTTATTGTTCTGCCGTGTTATCTAGAATGAAGCGTTCGACAAAAGCCATTTAACTGTACTATTTGATTGAGCTGCTATCATTTTAGGCCGTGTTTATACAGCATTTGACTCTTGATCGCGACGCGATTGCGCTCATTTGATCCGAGACTGCGACTTGACGGGAATTTGATGCGTGTGTTTATACAGGGTTAAACTCCCTCACGACTCAATTTTAATTTATCAACAATACTGTTGGGTCATGGTGGCAGTGCATCATGTCTTTATCCGACGAAGAAGACGTGCTTTTGCAATGGGCGGTGAATAAGCATCGTCGTTTTCGTGAACACCCTTTCAATACAGAAAATATTAAAAAAAAGTCAGTATTTAAGTTTTTTAGAAACATTTTTGTTAGCATAAAATGCATTCCGTGGGTTCCAGATTCATGGCCGAGCCTCCCACCAATTCCACAAGCTTCAGGGCTTCCTCTTCAGAAGTCATTATATTAGCTAACCTCTAAAAATCTTTTTTATTTTATTAATAAACCACCTTTTTTAAAAAGGATGAAATAGTTTTCGTCCGTTCACTGCACCAAGCAAGACAAGACAGATCAAGAGTCGAGTCGGAGTCTAGAGCACTGAGTCTCGTCACAGACCGCGACGCGACTGAGATTTGATCGTCAAATCTCAATCGCGTCCGAGTCGCGACATGTATAAACATACTCATTCAACTTTTCATGTGTTGTGCCGAGTCGCAATCGCGTCGCGATCAAGAGTTTAATGCTGTATAAACACGGCCTAAAAATCACTCCTTCTCATGCGATCATTCTCCATTTTCGTCTTCTTGATAATGGGCGTTAAAAAATTAATATTCAGCCCTGACCATTCCTTCTTTCAATCAACAAAAATGGTTTTCAAAAGTCATATTTTCTATGGTAAACAGCAAACCTGAAGAATTATATTCTTTAATTTTTCGACGGAAGTAATTTTCATTGAATATTGTATGAAACAACTCATTTACATAGCTTCTCCAAATGATACGCCTCTTAATCTATATGCTATTCAGGTCTCGCTGGTATTATGGCTTATTAAATTAAAATACCCTTCGAGGTTAACGCGGTGTTTGAAAACAAACCTTCACTGTAAGAAATTACAGAACTGATTGCTTTCTTCTGGTGACTCGGCAGGAACCCAGCCAACCTGATTTGAATATTGAAGTCTCCACTGATGCCATGGCGCAGTATAGCTCAGTTTTCTGGTCTGTAAACTTATTTGTTGAGAGCCATTGACGTAACATTGACTTTGTAGAATAGGGTCACTAGTGCGCCTCCAATATTTCGTGTATGCAATCCGGACAGTCGTCGAACACGTATGGTTGCATCAAGAAGTTCGTAGCAATTTAGCAAGGCGCCGGCCAGCCGAATCGCACAAACAGCTTTAGAAAAATTAAAGCCCCTTCAATAATTTGCGTATGCAATTAGGACAAGCGTGGAGCACGAATAGTGGTATCCACAAACCTGTGGTAATTTGACACGGCGCAGAGCGGTGCAATCGCGTGATGTCGCTCTAACAGGAAAGCGCACTCGAATACGCCTCAGATGAATAATCACATCAATATTCAAGGAATTTCATTGATTAGTTGTCCAGTCAAGTGTTAAACCGTATATTTGGTTTCCAAGTTTTTCCAAAGTGTCACTTAAAAAAATCACCACTAGACACATTTTTTACGGTGATTTTCAGTATGAAAAAAGTTAACAAATGCCATAAACTCCACTGGAAAAAAAAGAATCTTAAATTTGCCGTCAAGAAGTATTTCTTCTTAAATCAAGAATTTTGCTGGTTAATATAAGCTACTTTTTTGCTTAACCCAAGCATTATTTTTCTTGAATCAAGAAAAAATCAGCTTAAAGCAAGATAAAGAAAATTCTTGGCGGCAAATTCAAGAATTATCATGCTTGATCCAAGCTACTTTTTTTTTCAGTGTCCGAATGAAACTGCATGTTTGAGTGTAAAATTCATAAAAAAAGACAAATTTTGTAAAAACTGTCATTTTCAAGTTGTAAATATTTTTGATGCATTTCGTTAACCTTATGATGTACATTTTTTTTAAAAAAAAAAGTATGTGTATTTATCTGTAAATTAAAATGACCGTAAATAGAAATAAAATGACTGTTATAAGAACATCTGCCTCTAGACAATATTTCTCCACTTCTTTTAACTCCTTAAGAACTATTATCATCAAGAAATAAGGGAAACGTTTTGGTGTACGCAGTAAATCATTAAGATCACGTTGATTACGGTATACCAACGCACTTTCTTCAGGAGCGTTAATTTAAACTCTCATAATCTAGAGTACTTAAACGTACAAAATAAATCTGAAAGTATTCAAAAGGCATGACTGTTGAAAAGACATCAGACCTTGTAGGTACGTATTCTACTGATGTTTCAATGAGTGCTCAATTTATACTTGTACTTTCTACTGTAAGTGGGGTTGCTCGTTGCTACTAGAGAGATGTGTATATTTCTGATAAATAAGAAAGGAAAAGCTAATTCGGTATAAGCAAAGTAAAGAATAGTATCTGAAGCTCATTTCAGCGCACCCCCATTTCAAGAAATAGGTTAGACAACATCCTCACAGGAAAAAAAGTCGCTGCGATCTAGAGTCCAGACTCTTGAAAACAATGGCAAGGAAAAATACTCTTGATTCAATCTGCTTTTTACACGCATCAAAGGGAAATCCGCTTTAACTGAGAGACTTGTTTCTTAATTTAAGCAAAAGTATGATTGAATCAAGAGTATTTTTTCTTGTCGATGTTTTTAAGAGTCTGGACTCTAGATCCAAGCGACTTTTTTTGCCAGTGCTGGGCGCAGAAAAAATTGCCTATTCAAAATAAAGAAACACGCGCACTGTCTCCTACGCTTGTATAAAACGACTAGCAGTTACTCACAATTTTTAAAAATCAACTAACTAACATGGTCTGAACAATTTTAATGCTTATCATTTATGATAAGCACGCTGGGAAAAAAAAAAAAAACACATTAGATCTAGAGTCCAGACTCTTAAAGACATCGACAAGAAAAAGTACTCTTGATTCAATCAGAATCTAGCTTAAATCAAGAACCAAGCCTCTTAATTTGAGCGGATTTCTTTTTGATTCAAGCAAAAATCCGATTGAATCACGAGTATTTTTTCTTGTCAATGTTTTCAAGAGTCTGGACTCTAGATCCAATGTGGTTTTTTTCCCAAGGCATTTAATCTGCGATGAACATTAGTTTTTTACTATTTCGCCGCCAGATGTATCAGTTAAGGTTTCAAATTAAGTTGGACTGCGGGGGTAGGATTTCTGAAAAATCGCTGCGAGAGTTTTAACTATCCCAATCAAACGACACCGGAGGTCGTCTCAATTTCAATACAAACAAACCGCCTTTTCTACCTTGTAACGTCCACTCCGCGCCCGGAGGTATTTCTCTCACGGGCCAGAGTATTTCGATGGTCCCAAAGTCGCAAATCGTCCAATAGAAAAAAGGAATCATCTCAAACACTCCGCTCTCCAATATGTCTCGATGTGACTTTTATGACTCGTAAATCGCCGTTTAACCTGGACTCAAGGGAGGCGAAACTCCATGGGGAAGATTTTCGCATAACTTCTACCCTGTTCTTCTTGGCGGCAGTTTCGCAATTCTAAAGTGCCGACAGTTTCAATTATGTGGGTCTCATAAGCATCCACTTTTTGTCTTTGAGAGAATAAGCCGAGGTGCTTAAAAAACCAAAATATTGGTTCCTCAAGGTCTTTGTCGGCAGGGCGCCGTCGGAGAACACCCTGCTTCTGGAGGGAACATCTAAACTTGGAGACAATGGCCCATAACACTAAATCGTAGACTAAATTAAAATCTGGGGTCCATCGGACAAACGGACCTGCACCATCTTTATTTTTATATTATTGCCGTGCGGTGCACTTCAAAATGAACGTTCTGAGGGTATTATTGTAAATAATAAGGTTTTTTATTGATGTTTACATAATATAACTATCCGAGTATGCGCTGATAGTCATTTGTGTGACCTACGATTACCCCTCGGTGGGTGTTCTAACTCCGATGTATTTTCGACTTGCGCCGAAAATTCTTTCCCTTAAGATATTGGTGGGGTGGATGCATTTAACAAATCCTAGATTAAAAAGATGCAAAGGTTGCAGACGAGCATGAAACATGAACTTTCAAATGAATTTTTGGTAACTTTAGATTATTTTATCAAAGTTCCCTCGGATTTTTTTTTTGTGTTTGTAATTGTTTAAAGAACAACGAATGTATCGCACAACACAGCAAATCGCTAAATCACATGCGCAATCTTCGTAACTCACTGCTCTCCTCGCACACTTTTTAACATCCAGAATGTTAAATCAGCATCCATTTATTTTCGATGAAGGAGGCATTTTCTCTTGAAATTGTTGGCCAAAGGCTAGAGTTATTTTGTGTTTTACTTCCCGTATCAACCAAACTTTTGTTTTGAAATTTCTCTCAATGGAGAAAAAATTAAAAAATGAAAATGCCTCAAAGGCACAACAGTTTTTCAAAATTACGGTGATCATCATGTTGTGCACAAATTTTTTATTTGTTTTCCTAGTGTTCACCGTCAATTTTTTGGGCCTGGAGCGCTTGTTCGCCAACGCAGGGAGCTTTGGAACGTTGAGAAGTAGATCAAGTGTCAGGCGAAAAGTTGAGACGCGACGTGTCAAAATCAGCTTCACGCCGGAGTGCGAGAGGTGTCACTTATATTGACAAGCCAATTCCAGCAAGACGTCTTTCTCTGGTAGGGGGAGGCGGGGGTCATTTCTCCGTGGGTCGAGGGGAGTCCTTGCGGGGGGCCTTGAGGCGTCTTAACAAGAACTTGCTGTACCATCGATTCCCCGACGCTCGCCTTACAGTGTTGCAAAGAGAAGATGAGAAAATTTTACTCGCCAAGGGTTGCTTTTTTTATTCTATTTTCAAATTCCGATCAACTTTTGATATTAACTTTACTACTTTCCAGCCTGAGATTCGACACAGTTTCATGAGCTGCATGAGGTACAGTATTGCTAATTTTTCTCAGATAATTCACTCAATAAGGTCACTACACTCATTCAACACCTAGGTTGACTTTAGGGTCTAACCAAACAGTGGGTGTAAATTCAATTTAAGCAATTTTTCAAGTGCACCCGAATTTGCTCCAGTCAGCGAAGCTTACAATTTTCTGAAAGATACAGGATAATATGCTCAAAAGACAAGAAACGAGCTGCATTATGATCGACCCGAAAAAACCTTTACGCAGATTTTTGTACAGTACATCAGAAATTTGAACGCACACAAAAAAAAAAAAACAAAAGTTGACTTACAATGAAATAAAGTCACGATCCATATTAACCACATCAAAAACAATTTCAAGTAGTGATTTTTAAAAATTTCGAGTAGTAATTTAAATAAAAGTACAAGTAGTAATTAGCTTTTTGGAACACGTAGTAATTTTTCAAAAATCAGATTTGAGCAATTGATCTACATATGTCGGTGGAAATAGTGTTTTTCGCTATCTATTTATTTTATTTGTATTTTTTTTCTTTTTGAAGAGAAGCTAGTCCTCTTGCAAACCTACTTTGGCCTTTTCTAAAACAAAAAATAAATTAAAATCTTTTGATTTCAGTATCGCATTAAATACAAATATGATACGTATTTGACTAGCGTATCAAATTCTCAAGATAGCTGGCCGGTTGAAACGCGTCGAAAACATAAAAATCGCGAGTCGGTGAGTAATTAATTAATAATACATACTTCAAAAACATAATATATAAATCTAAAGAACGGCCATGCAACCGATTCAATATATGATCCGACTAGTTCCGCACATTAACAATTAATTTTTTGCTAGCCATACATATAACACTCTGAATCAAACTCATTGAGATGTCACTTTTTTTGCGCCCTACCTACTATGTAACTTTCAGCTATAGAAGGTCAAAAATCAGTGATTTTATTGTACAATTTGACAACCGTGTCGTTGTCCTAGATTTTTCCTGGAAACCAAACGTCAAGAGCAGTTTCTCACTTCTCCTGCGTCCGATTTTCTACCTCACCTCATACTCTCTGCCGGGATATTCTGATGATCGTATAATTAAACGGGGACCCACTCCGATGAAATTGATCCGCTTGCGGAACTAAACGGAATCAGTGGCGAGGCGTGATTGTCGATTATCGATATTTCTCCATTTGAAGCTATGGTACAAAATCGATTAATAAGGTGTTCATTGCAAACACCCTGTCTATAGATTCTCTCCCATAGGTTTAAATGCCCGATTAATCGATCAATCCCAAAGCACGTCACGCAACTGATCGAACCGCAGGTAGGCGGCACACTTGAAATCGTCTGTTTAGGGTGAAATATTAATAAACTACTGTGCAAAGAGTGAGGGTATTTGACGTGGTCTGGCAATCGACTTTTAGGTAGAATGAATAATGAAAAATCAACGTAGTACGAAAAATCTATTAAGGAAATTATATGAATTGTAATCATTGCGAAATTTAACCCGATAATGAGGTTTTTAGACTCCTTAATTAATGGAATTTGCAGCATTGGGGCTAGACAGAACTGGTAGAATAACATGTTCATGAGTGCACTGCGCCTTCATTCTCGAAGATATACCACACAGTGTACATTTTGGAGATGTAGTAATTTATTAAGAAAAATATGTCGCAAGCTCATCGCCACTAACAGTATAATACCTAACAAATCCAACAGCCCAGCAATCATAAAGCATGCATCATTACATGCAATGGCACACAGAGCATATTCGATTCTTTTGAGCTACAAAAATAGACGGCGAGAGATCGATATAATCAGAGAACTAGGCAGCGCAAACGGCAAACGGATATCCTAGATACTTAGTGAATCAATTTCTTAAAAAGCATGAAACCAATGCTTTCCACGAAGGCTAGGGTTATTTTATGTTTTACTTCCCATATTAACCATACTTTTGTGTTGAAATTTCTTTCTGCGAATCCACGCCATTTAAGTTTACACACTTCTAGACTGCGACAGAAGATCGTCTGACGTTACTTTTACATGTAAAGTAAATGCAAGACGCAATATGGCGGATCTTCTGTTGCAGTCTAATAGTGCGTAATCTTATTTGGCGTGAACTCTAAATATACTCGAA